TTAACCAACTGAGCCACCCAGGTGCCCCTCTATCACTCATTTTTAACTTCATAAGTAAATGACAACAAAAACCTCAAAAAATAAAAGAAAAAGGGGCACCTGGGTGGCTCAGTCAGTTAAATGCCTGACTCTTGATTTTGGCTCAGGTCATGATCCCATGGTTTGTGGATTTGAACCCTGCTTTGGACTCCCTGCTGACAGAGAAACCTGCATGGGATTCTCTCCCTCTCCGCCCCTTCCCTGCTCCTGCACACACACTCCCTCTTTCTCTCTCAAAATAAATTAACTTAGGGGTGCCTGGGTGGCTCAGTCAGTTAAGCATCCGTCTTCAGCTCAGGTCATGATCTCAAGGTTCATGAATTCAAGCCCCGCATTGGGCTCTGTGCTGACAGCTCAGAGCCTGGAGCCTGCTTCGGATTCTGTGTCTCCTTCTGTCTCTGTTCCTCCCCTACTTGTACTCTCTTCCTCTCTCTCTCAAAAATAAACAAAGATTAAAAAAAATTTTTTTGATTAAAAAAAATTAGAAAAGAAAAAGAAAAATTCACTTGAATTCCAGGCCAAAGGAAAAACATTGCTCTTTAAATGAAAGAAAATGAGGTAGTCATTAGAACTTCATTAGCAATGGTTTAAAGGAGACAGTGGAGTCAACATTTTCAAAGAATCAAGGAAAGAAACTGAATCAAATAGACTTTCACATATAAAGGCTGCAGTCAAATGTATCAACAACAGATTGGTATTCTGATGATATTGTTCATATAAACACTCTGAGAAGAGAGAACAAAGTTCAGACACTCAAAATGATGGGAGAGATACTGACATAAAGACTGATGCTAGCAATTAATTGCAATTAGTTAAGATAGTTGTAAGGGGAGAGTGTATAATATGAAAAGACTGTATGCTCTGACAATTTGGATAAAGTATAATTATTAGAAAATGGGGAGTTTGAAGATGCTATGAAAATAGAATAAGCTTTGTGATTGCTTTAAAGTTTTTAACTGGACATAAAAGGATAATATTTCAGTTTGGCTCTGAAGTGATTGCTCATGGTGGAGGGGGCAAAAGCCAAACAAAAGGTTATCATTAGGACAAAAGAATAAACTGTACTAATTTTATATTTATATATTTATTTTCGAAAGTATATAAAACTTATTCTTTGTTTTAGGAATTTCATATGTATTTTTAAATTTAGGAAGGCTTGTCCTTGGTGTGTGGGTGTGTATGACCAAATAAAATAGACTGCACAGAGGAAGTGTGTTCCTGTTACTGTTGCTTCATAACTACTCCAAAGCTTAGTGGATTGAAACAATAACCATTTTATGGATTCTGTAGATTAGGAATTCAGGCAGGATTTTGTCTGGATGGTCTTTGTAGCATAGACTAAGGTCACTTAATGGGATTCAGCTGGTCGGTGAAGGTCCACAATAGCTTTACTCCCCTTGTCTTGTGCCTTGGTGATAGGGCTGGAAGTTAGGGCTCAGAACACCATCACGTGACCTCTGCAGCATGGTTCTTTGAGGGTTGTCAGACTTCTTACATGGTATCTGACTTCCCCCAGACAAGCATCCCTAAAGAAACGGGGAAAAGTTTTGTGGCCTCTTCTAATTTAACTTCGAAAGTCACATAGAATCATTTCTACCATATTTGCTTGCTTGTGAGTTATAAGACCAGCCCAAATTCAAGGAGAGAGTGATTAGAGTCTGCCCAATTAATGGGGGAATGGCAGGGTCACAGTACAAGAACATGTGGGATACAGGCATGTATCTTTGGAAAATATACCCTGACACAACTATTCGCACAGAAGCCTTGCCTACATATAAATAAGGTATAGTATGAATAGAACGGAGATCAAACAACTTCAGTCATATCAAACGTTACCTTAGTTCAAAGAAAACAATTTTCAGATTTGCTGATAAGGCAGAATGTAACTCTTTCCAGTATTTTGTTGTAACAAAGAGATGAAGGTTAAAAGCAAAAGAACTATATAGCTGTTAAAAAAGAGTGAGGGACATCTGTCCATGCTACTATACAGTGTTGTTGCTGTATCTTTTTAAAAGATAAGTAAAATAAATTGGGCGCCTGGGTGATCAGTCATTAAGTGTCTGACTTCAGCTCAGGTGAGCTCGAGCCCTGCTTTTCTCTCTCTCTCTCTCTCTCTCAAAAATAAACAAATAAATAAAATTAATTTACAAAAGTGGGCAATACATATATGTGTGTGAATATATATACATAATGTGTACATAATTATGTATTATATATATTAAAATACTCTAGAATAAGTATATGTAAATGTATTTACATATATATGTGTATCTGCTTCTATTTATTAAAAATGGAGGAATAAGCCTTTCTGTAAATGTTTATATATAATGTTTATATATAAATGTTTATTATATTTATATTGGTGATTTATATATAATGACCATATATATAAATGTTTAATATAATTTAGGGTAGGAGAGAGGACTAGAACCTAGACTTCTTTTTTAATATCCTTGTTTCACAGATATGACCTTGAAACTATTTTACCTACCTAATTAAAAAAAATGAAACTCTTAAAAGCCACCCCTAAATGTCAAAATTGACAATAAAAAAGAACAAATGAACTTAAGTGTATAAGAAATGAGCCAACTGGATAGTTGGCAACATTAACACCTAAGGAGGAACTACTCCAATAATTTTAAAACAGCAATTAAACTATATATATATATATATATATATATATATATATATATATATATATATATATATATATATATATATATATTCATCCCTACTAGACCATGCTTTAAGGTTAAAAGGAAGTAGGGAAAGTAGTTAACTGTTTTCAAAAACGATGTCGTGGTCTTAGTTGTTGGTGTCGTTATTTCAAGGCTGTTGTAAATGTAATACTGGAAAAAATTAAAAAGTCCCCGTGTAATACTCTAATTCTGTTATTCCCAGTGTCGTGAGAACTAGGATTCGTCTTATGCAAGAAAGCACATATAGATAGAAGATAGAAGACATTAATTACAAACTTAATGGTTTTAATTTTTAATTAGAAGAACCAGTATAGGGCTGCCTGATGGGCTCAAAGGAGCATGTGATTCTTGATCTTGGCATCATGAGTTTGAGCCTCACATTGAATGTATAAATTACTTAAATAAATAAAACTTTTAACGATAAGAGGAACCAGTATTTGTACCTCCATCTATCAGTCTATCTGTTTTCACTGTGCCTTTGCAAATAAAAGTTTGCCATGAATTGTTTTTGTTTTTGTTTTTGTTTTTGTTTTTGTTTTTGTTTTTCTTTAGAGTGAGAAAGGGAGAGGGACAGGGGGAGAGAGAGAGAATCTTAAGCAGGCTCCATGCCCAGCATGGATCCCACACAGAACTCAGTCCCACAGGGCTCTGGGGTCATGACCTGAGCCAAAATTAAGAGTTGGACACTTAACCAACTGAGTCACCCAGGCGCCTCAATGCCATGAACTGTTAATTGTTGAATTGTACTGGACACATTATTACTGTCTACTAACATTTGTATTTTAAATTTTCTGTTATTTTTTTTTTAATTTTTTTTTAACGTTTATTTATTTTTGAGACAGAGCATGAACGGGGGAGGGTCAGAGAGAGGGAGACACAGAATCTGAAACAGGCTCCAGGTTCTGAGCTGTCAGCACAGAGCCCGATGTGGGGCTCGAACCCACGGACTGGGAGATCATGACCTGAGCCAAAGCCGGCCGCTTAACCGACTGAGCCACCCAGGAGCCCCTCTATCATATTTTTACAGGATAGTAAAAGGGGCGCCTGGGTGGCTAAGTCGGTTGAGCATCCGACCTCGGCTCAGGTCATGGTCTCACGGTTCGTGAGTTCAAGCCCCACATTGGGCTCTGTGCTGTCAGTGCGGAGCCCACTTCATATCCTCTGTCCTCCTAGCTCTCTGCCCCTCCCCCACTTATGCTCTCTTTTTCTCTCTCTCTCAAAAATAAATATTTAAAAAAAGAACACTTTATTACTTACTAGTTTGAACTATTAAATGTTTTTGAGTTTTTTGATGAACTGTTGCTTCAATTAATCTTAGTATCCATAAAACAAACATGGTGTCTATGGTAAAAAGAATAACTCCACAATAATCATGTTTGCTCTTCCTCTGTCTTCTTAAACTATACAAACTCCCAAGCAAGATATTTGCTCTTGCTTTAAGACCGTTTGTATTTGTAAGAAAATCTGAGGAGATCTACCCTAATTTCTATAAAATAGTTTGTTATAGAGAAAAGGTATAAAGGTGTGTAAATGTGTAATGCAGTGTATTTGAAAAAGTGCTTATGGTTTTATTAATAGATTTAGTAGTTTTTACTATATGATATAGTTTAAAATAATTCATCAAAATCACACTTGCTTTATATAAAAATGATCTTAAAATGTTTATTCAAATTGTTTTGTATCTTATTTTGGTATTTTGAGAATTTACAAATCATAAAATGAGTTGAAGTAAATTTAATGTACAGTTTTTAAGGCATATTTTTCCTGTATTGTTGACTTTTGCCATATTATTGACTGTACACAAGTTCTGTGTTTAAGCACATAAAAGTAACTGATTTCCTCAAGGGGAAAAATCAGTAAACAAAGTGTCTAGTATAAATCATTATAGGATTCTTTTTTTAAGTACAAAAATCAGAATAAATTCTGAATTTTAATCTTTAGAATTTACAGTTAGACAGTAATGTGAGGTTGATACCACTATTTGATGCATGAAAGTTGTCTTTTAATTGTGATTAAATGTAATATGAACTTTAAAATAGCATATGAGAAAATTCTAATTCAGCCAGTTCTAATTTATGGTACATTTGGAAAATTGTTGGTTTTTTGAAATTTGCATTTTGTCCAAAAATCTTACACAGATTACTCTTTCAAGGTTCTAACCTCATATAATTATTATAAGCCAGCTAATGTATTTAATACTTTATATTCAAGTAACTTAATTTTTTAGAGTGTAAAGTATAAATTTATTTTTTTCCCCATCAGAATACAGTCGTTTTGAAGCCAAAATACATGACTTACGGGAGCAGATGATGAATAGTAGCATTAGTTCAGGATCAGGTTCTCTTCGAACTAGCCAGAAGCGATCTCTCTATGTCAGGTAAATTTTTTTACTTCTAATTATGGCAGTCCTTATTTATGCATGCATGCAGAGTCCTTCACATTTTTTACTATGACTTAGTTTTACTGTAGAAGAATATATTGCAAAGAATATATTGCCACCTGTCTGGCTCAGTTGGTGGAGCATATGACTCCTGATCTCAGGATTATGAGTTCAATCCCATGTTGGGTATAGAAATTACTTAAAAATAAAATATAAGAAAAAAGAAAAAATCTATTGTAAACCAAAGAAATGTTATTTTAGGATTGATTTCTTGACAGTCTGTCTTTCAAGAATTGGAATGTTACTATAATTGTATTAAAGTTGTACAACCCCTTGAATAATAATGGCATGATAAAGACAAAATAAATGTGGGAGAAAAAAATTTTTAAGTTATTTTCCTGAGTGACTGTATTGTAGCTTGGTATGTCATATCATCCAACACTTACTTATATTCTTTATAATAAACTGTTCTCTAACATTTAATTACTACAGTAATGTCCATAATAGCAAAGGGAGCATATGTAAATAATAGCTTAAAATGTGAGTAGCCTCAGTAGAGAACACAGATTCAGGAAATTTCTACATGTATTTTTTTAATTTAAACTGTTCTTTTTTATTTCATTGGCTAATAAGACTTACACAGATGACCTATTTGTATTCTGTATACTCTTTTTAGCAGAGCCTTTACTCAGCACTTTATTGCACTATTAGTTTAACTTTAGTTGATGACTACGGGTAATCTGTACCATTCTTCATTAATTTTGTTCATTTCTTCTGATCTTACTGAGGAACATTTCCTAGTATGTTTTATTTATTCTTCTGATGAGAGATGATGTATCTTACATAAAATAGACATGTATCCCATATGTGTTTGTGCATATGTATAAAAACATCTATGCAAACAAGCATGTATTCTATACTTGTTTACATATGATATGACTTACTGTCTCAAATGTTATTCTGTGATACATAACAAAAGGAAACTGTTCTCACTTTCTTCACTTGTTCTTTTCCTACCCCTTTCATTCCTCCTGCCCTACCAATGATCTGGGAATCCTTAGTCTATCAGACTTTTCTCTTCTTCCACTAATTATTGTAATATTTATTAAATTTTATTTAGATTTATTATTTAATTTATTATTTCTATACATTATTTATTAAATTTTATTTATTAAATTATTCTGTTCCAAAGTGTTTTATGTGATACTGATATCTACAGAAAAAGGAAAAACAGATTTGTTTATACTCTCCTTTTTTCATTTTCTTCTTCTTGCCTATATTTTCTAATTTTAATATAATTAGGTGTTGCCTTTAATAGTGATTTATTAAAAACTTACAAAGGCATAAAAATCAAGACATTACATTTGTTTCAGGCACCTTTAATGAGTCATCTTTACTTTTTGTTATTTTTTAAAGAAGTACCTTATTTTTGCAAGTTATATACTATCAAAAAAATGTAATGGGGGCTTCCAGGTGGCTCCGTCAGTTAAATGTCCACCTTTGGCTCAGGTCATGATCTTGCGGTTCACACGTTTGAGCCCCAGGTTGGGCTCTGTACTAATAGCTCAGCGCCTGGAGCCTGGTTCAGATTCTGTGTCTTGCTCTCTCTCTCTGCCCCTCCCCGACTCGTGCTCTGTCTCTCTCCTCTGAAAAATAAATAAACGTTGTAAAAAATAATAATAAGAAATATCTGTCACCTCCGAAAAATCCCTAATTTCATTCTCTGAAAACAGTCATCCTCCATTTTCTTAGCAAAGTCCCTTGTCTTTACCCCCAAATTTCTAAATAATGTGCATATACTGCTGTTTTCCAGTTTACCATTGTAGATAACTTTCTCTTTCATACCAAACTACTCTTCATCCTTTATCACTCAAACATAGTGTCATCACTGTTAATAAAATTAATAGCATTTAATCATGTGACTATTATAGTATCTGTCATTACTCAAGTAGTATATTATAACACCATCCTTCCTTTCTTCTGCAGCCCTTCATTTTTCCTAGGCATAATAATCATCTCATTTTTATTTGCTTAATTGTTCATGTACTTATTACTAAGTATCTTTCTTTATCTTACAATAGACTCTAGAGTTTTTCACTTAAAGAAACATGTGGTTGTACATATGATCTTACACTTCAGATTTTTTCTATCTTTCTGTTCCAGTCTGGACTAGTTACTTTATAGACTTGCTGTGTAGATCTCATATGAGACTTGCCTTTGCCACTGTCCTATTCCTTTTATTTTTTTAAGTTTATTTATTTATTTTGAAAGAGAGAAAGCATGAGTGGAGGAGGGAGGGAGGAAGGGGTGGGGGGAGAGAGAGAGAGAGAGAGGGAATGAATGTGAATCTCAAGTAGGCTCTCTGCTGACAGCACAGAGCCCAGTACAGGGCTTGATCTCAGGAAACCATGAGATCATGGCCTGAGCCAGATCAGGAGTCAGATGCTTAACCAGCTGAGCCACCAGGTGCCCCTGTCCTATGCCTTTTAGCACTCTGCTATGTCAGAGTCTGTTTTTTTCAGTGCCACATTTTCTTTCTCAATTTACTTTCCTTTAATAAAGCACATTCTCCAATAAATTCTTGAAAAAAGAGTATATGGGGGACATTTTTTGAGTGTTAGCATGTCTGAAAATGACTTTACTTTGCCTTCTCCTTCATAGAGTATTTGGGGTATGGAGGAAGGTATGATATCCTATTTTATTTTCTAAAAGCCTCTTATTTGATCATTTTTTTGTCATCTTTTTATTTCATGGACCTAATATCTTCTCATTTTCTCTAATGTTCTGCTTCTTGAATTCTGTGCATTCTCTGTATTTCTTTTTTTTTCTAGTTTGCCTCTTTTCTTGTTTTTCATGTGTGAGATGATCTTTAAATATTTAGTGATCCTTATTTCCTATTCTTATGAATGGAGAATGAAGCTAGCTGGATTTAACTATAAAATACTTGGCTTTGTTCGTTGCCCTTTCCCACCCGAGGTCATTGTTTGGGGTCATTAAATATCTCTAGAAAAGAATCCTTAATCTCTTGCCTGCAGTATAAACAAGGTTGCTAGAATTTCCATTTTCAGTGTGCAGATTACTTTTTATCTCTTTAGCCCAGCACCACGTTCCCCATCAAGTTCCAGAGTACAGAACTTACCAAATTCGATTTCTTTAGAAACTAAACCTCTTGTCTTCTGGGTCTGAGAACAAGAGAAGGGATCTAGAGGTTCTAAGTGCTATATGAAGTGTTTTCACCAGTTCTTTTGTTTTCACTGCTGTAACTTACCTCTGCCTACCTGAATTCTGTACACTTCTACTTCCTGAACATTTCTAGGATCTGGTGGAGTAAACCTTATTTCAGTAGCCCTCTCTTCAGACACCCCATTTAAGCTTCCTCCAATCTGCAATAATGAATAGGTCTACCTAAGATCCAGCAGTAGCACTACGAGGTATTTGCCTCAAGAATACAAAAATACTAATTCAGAGGGATAAATGTCCCCCCACCCATCTTTATAGCAGCCTTATCTGCAATAGCCAAATTAGGGAAACAGCCCAAGTGTCCATTGACTGAAGAATAGATAATGAAGTTGTGGTGTATACACACACACACACACACACACACACACACACACACAATGGAATATTACTCAGCCATTAAAAATGAATGAAATCTTGCCTTTTGCAACAGCATGGATGGAGCTAGAAAGTATTATTCTAAGTGAAATAAGTCAGAAAAAGACAAATGCCATATGATTTCACTCATATGTGGAATTCACAAAATAAAACAAATGAACATAGTGGGGAGAAAAGAGGGAGAGAGACAAACCAAGAAACAGACTCTTAACTATATAGAACAAACTAATGGTTACCAGAAGGGAAGTGTGTGAGAAGATGGGTTAAATAGGTGATGAGGATTGAAGAGTGCACTTGTGATGAGCACCAGGTGATGTGTGGAAGTATTGAATGAGTATATTATACACCCAAAATTAATATTACATTGTTTATTAACTAACTGGAATTTAAATAAAAATTTTTTTAAAAAGAGAGATAGGTTTAAAAAATTGGGTAACACAGAAAGGAATATGATTTGTATCCTAATTTCCAGTTGCCAAATTAGAACTAAAGAATAAATAAATTGTATTATAAATGTAATTGCTGGGATTCTTTCCTTTACTTTTGAGAGAACTACTTTGGATGAGAATTTAAGTATTGTATATTAATAGAACACAGTATTTTTATCAAATTTTAAAAGATTCTTAACATTGTGCAATTACTATATTAATACAGTATTTTTTCCAAAATATTTAGCAGCTGTTAAAGGCCTGTATAGTTAGTTTTCATCATTGTTATTGACTCAGAAAATTCTGTTACTCTAGTTCTGTGAACAAATAGAAGGAATAATTAACTGACACAATAGTCACTCTGTTAATCTAGTCTTACACTCTGCAACTAATGAATCAAATCTTTCAGGGAGTTTGTTTTCCTAAGTATGTGTAGCCAAAATAAAGAGAAGAGTATCTCTTAATATTTACTTTTTGTTTATTAATTTAGAGCAACTCTCTAGGTTTGTCTTCATTTTAGAATTCAATATGGGTTGCCAGTGGATTACACTAAAAGCATTTTTTTTTTTAATTTCTCATCCAATATTGAAAGAAATAAGGTGGTACCTAATTTTAGAAAACTGTTAGCATAAGTCACTTTTACTGTTTCTTTTTTTGTCTGTCCTTCCATATGTAGTGCAAATTTGAGCTTGGCATTATTTTGCCCACCATGGTATCTTGTTTAATTATTTACCTGGATTATATACACTTTCAGAATCCTGTGTTCATTTAATATTGGAATAAACATCATGACAAGTAATCATAGACTTTTTTTTCTTCTTAATCTAGAGCGCTTTTTGATTATGACAAGACTAAAGACAGTGGCCTTCCCAGTCAGGGCTTGAACTTCAAATTTGGAGATATCCTCCATGTTATTAATGCTTCTGATGATGAATGGTGGCAAGCCAGGCAGGTTACACCAGATGGAGAGAGTGATGAAGTTGGAGTAATTCCCAGTAAACGCAGGTAAATATAAGTCTGGTACAGTCTTACCACTTGAAAGTAGGGCAACATAAATAATTGTTGATTTTTAACATTATTTTACCAAGATGGTGATGCTTGGTTTTCCATATTGTGTTTCACAATCATTTGATTTTGTTCACCTTATGTTGTAACCAGTGACGTAATTAAAGAATATGATGCCCCCAAAGGTTTTTAAATAACTTTGCCATGTATCTATACCATTGGAGGGAGAGAGATTTAAAAGCCTTTGTAGTTTTCTCATGTAGGTGGTGATGGAATCTTAAACTTTACATTTTTGATTATATGAATTGCCTCCTTTAGACTTAGAAAATGGAAGTGTAAATAAATGTGAAATGTTTAGAACTATCTTGTTACTTGCTTCACATCTTTTTTCTTGATTAATTTAGAAGTATTGGTACATTCACTGGTCTTTCCTCTTTGCTTTTAACCACTTATTATCATGATTGATACTTACTGTCTACTGGAAAAGTAGTCAAGTATAGACATAGATAGGATGATCCCAGTATAGACAATCCTCTCTAAGGTCTACGAAATGCTGCTGAATGCCCCTACTTTCGTGAGAAATGGTATTAAAATGTCAGTTCGTAATTCCCCTGAAATAGCTTTTTTGTGAGATCTGATTTGTACAAATCATTGCCTAAAAGCCTCTTTAAGTTTTAAGACAGCCAGCCAAAATTGGTAAAGAGACATTAGTGTTTAGTGTAGCTAGTTAATTCACTTCAGGTCAAGCTTATGATGGAATACACTTGTTCTGTTCTAATGAGTTGGATTTATACTTATTTTGTTAAGAGCCTCTGTAATTGATAAGTATGCCAAATCATGTACCTATTTATAAACCTCTACCTGTATATATTTGTATAACTGCTTGTAGAAGTTGAAGAGTAGGAATATTAAAATATTACCTAGATTTGTATTTGTGGTTTGGGGATTTATGACTGTTCTATGCTAGATCCATATATTTAGCAAGCTCCAGCTATTTGGCTAGATCTTATAAAGAGGCAACTCCTCTTTTAGCAATGCAGCCCTCAGCATAACTTTTCTCCTAGAATAGAACATAGTCTGCTTTAAATTCAGAAATGCTTCCTCTGTGCCTTGTTGAGTCAGTAAAAATCTCACATCTTGAATATCAGAGTTCCTAAAAATTGTCTTATCCTTTGGTACCTCCTATCTCTCATAGGCTTTATGTGTGCCTGCAACTAATAAAACACTGGCTTTGATGAAAAGAGATTCTTTTTATTTTGTACAAAAATTCCATAAAGTTGAATTTTGTGGGATTTTTTTGTTTTTTTATGTTTATTCATTTATTTATATAATTTTTCTTCCATAAGCTATAGTATGATACCACAACTAATTATGCCGTTTTGTTCTTGAATGTATTCAAAACTTCTGTTTTCTTAAAACAGAACTATCCCTTTCTTAGACCTCTGTACTTCTAATAATAGCACAAGGAATTGTAGTTACTACAGTTCTTAGTTTTCTTTCAGGAATAGTATTTACAGTTAAGCACAATTTAAATCAACTATTTAGTGAACAAGATAATGATGTGAAAACAAAGCCATTTTGAGTTGTAAACGTTTACTCACTAAATGTTAGTTTTGCAGTGCCCTCAGTAAGTACCTAGGCAGAATTATAAATTAGTTAATCATCTCATGGACTCTCTAATCATGTCATGGACTGTTCTAGCACAATAAAAACAAGTTTCACATCCTTGACTACTAAGGTTCTTTATCCACGGTAAAACTGTATAGCTAGATAATGAAGGAAATATATATATTCACAACCTGTTGTGGTAAGTTTTTCTGCTATATACTAACGTAATATCTATGTTGAAACTGAGGACTTATAAAAGCTTAATTTACAGGAAATTTTGCGAGGTTCATATTGGTATTACAATCTACATGAAACATTTGTTTTGATGTAGTTTTGTTGGCTTGCTTATTTTGAATACTTGGCACTTTAACAAGTTTCAGAATTCATAAGATCTAAAAGCTGTACAGGCTTCCTTATCTTAAGCTTGTTCCCTTGGCACCAATTTCACCTGTAGAGGGATAACTAAGGATAACTAACATTACCAAGTCTTTGTATCTCCTTCCAAAGATACTTTAAAGTTTTTGTATACTGTAATTTGTTTCTTTCTATATTTACACAAGTATATCACTGGAGCTAAATTTAATTTTTGTATTTCCCATTTTTTTATAAAAATGTCAGAGCTACAGAAAAATAAGTAACAAGAGGAAGAATAGTACAAGAAACAATAGTACAAGAAATCCACATATCCTTCACCTACTTTTACCAGTTGTTAACATTTTGCCTTATTTGTTCACTGTCTTACGCTTAATTTTTGGCATATGTGTATGCCCTGTGCTAAGCTAATATTTAAACAATAACAAAAAAAACAAAATCTGGCAAATTGCTCAATTCAGAAGTGGTTCCTCATAATAATTTTAATATAATTATGGAATTGAGTACATTTATAAGTACACAGGTACTGTATTTTGATACTTCACAAGTGGTTTTGTTTCATAATAAAATGAGCCCTGTATTTCATTTTAGAAATTATAATTAATTTTGGGATGCAAACCTAGATGACTTCTGAAGACTTTGGAATATAAAAATGCCCTATATTAAAGTATCAGTTTTAATGATTTCTAGTTAGGCCCTTAGATATTTCAGTATACTTTAAAAATAGCATTCTATACTTTGACAGAGTTGAGAAGAAAGAACGAGCCCGGTTAAAAACAGTGAAATTTAATTCTAAAACAAGAGGAGATAAAGGGGTGAGTATATGAAATTTCATATTTCTAGATATTAGTAATTGAGGATAGTAGGTTTTTTCTTAATTCTTGCTGGAAATACATTATTAAAATTAGAAGGATTTTGCTATAAGAGTTAACCATCAACAAGTGTTGCTATGGTGCTTTCGCATAGTAGATACTGAAGTAATTTAAGTATTACTGAAGTAATTTAATTTATTAAATTAAAGCAGTCATTTTACAGACATTTTTCAATTAAGTTATTTATTTTGAGAGAGAGAGAGCACGCGTGAGAAGGGGGAGGGGCAGAGAGGGACAGAGAGAAAGAATCCCAGGCAGGCTCTGCACCATCAGCACAGAGGCCAGTGCGGGCCTCAAACTCACGAACCGTGAGATCATGACCTGAGCCAAAATTAAGAGTGGGACTAAGTCATCCAGGAACCCCTCATTTCATATATTCTTAATATACTTTGGTGAGGTTATTTATACAAGTGAAATAAATTCAGCCTTCATTCAGATGTCCAGTTAGAAACTTGTATCATCAGTATTAATCATGGAGCTAATTTAATAATACATGTTCTGAGAAAATATGCCCCAAAATATTATTAACTAGGTCATAATGTAAGTTTACAGGTTTTTGTAAGTTAATTTGTGGAAATTTTTTATTGCCCTTCTTTGTGCCTAATATAATTTATTAAGGAAAACCCATGCTTTAAATATTTGAATCAATATGAATTTTTATTTTGAGGAAATAAAGAGACAGTCAAGAGGGGGAATTATAGATGGTCAAGAAATACTTGTAAACTCTTTCATATATAATTTTAAACGTGTTTTTGTTTTCATTGTTAAATTCTGCTTAAATATAATGGATGCCCATAGATGAAGGAGCTATTATAGGCTTTGTCCTGTACTATGTATGTAATTACTACAACAGAATATGGTAGCAATAAGCCTAAAGAAATAAGCTGAACATATATGTTGTCTTGAAATACTATTCATAGGAATGTTTTGTGTTTGGGTTTTTTTCTTTTTTGATCTAACACAAGTTTTATCATCTTTTGATCATATCTCAAATGAATGTGGGAAGTTAACTCAACAAATTTTAATTAACCCTGTCATTTGTGCTTCTCTGATAAAACTAAGCACATAAACTTAAAGCCTTTAAGATAAATATCCTTGATCAAAGAAATTAAATCTAAGTAAATTATATAATGTATTCAGTTATTTTAGAAATGATAAATTAGTTTAAAATGGTAGCTTTCAGAAAATAAAAAATTACATAGTGTGATCTGAAGCAATATGTAAAATAGAAATTTGGGAGAAGAAAAAAATCCCAAGTAAATGCTCAGGATTTGCTTTTTGTGCTTATTTTATATATGTCTTTAAAAATAACTTAGTAAAATACACTGTCAATGTATTGAAAAAGAGGTTGCATGTTGTAACTTTTCTTTCATACTGTAAGAAGTTAACTGAATTAACGACATATTTAAATCTTATTCTTGTTTGTTGACTGTAACCAACTTTATACACAGTCACTGTGTTCTAACACAGCACCAAAAGTATGCATGATACTGAGTGGGGTAAAAATACGCTTGCCATTGATACAGAACTGCATTCCTTTCCGTAATACCATTTCCCATTCTAAGTTCTTTTCCTTTCCTTAAATGGTGGTTTATGGACTTATTTCCACTACAGACTTATAACATTTCAGTTTCTCATTAACATTTTTAACATTCATTTAGCTATCTTGGCAATACCACATATAGAAATTATGTATTTAATATATATATCATGAATTTGTGATATTTTATCAGTTCTTATATTACACTCTGTCTTTCCTGCAGTGTAGCATAAATAACAAGTAATTAAACAGTATTTTGTATTGAAAATGTAGAGAAACTGGAGGTAGTATGTTTCTTCAGTTTTATGTTTTCCCTACACATATTTGTCTTCTTTGCTTTGTGCTATTTTCACTTTTAATAAATTCTTCACCTGGAGGATGTTAAATGTAATACAATTAATTCTTTTCTTAACTAACAGCATTTCTTTCTGTTCTCTATTATGATATCTTTATGATATCTCATTTTGGCTAACTGCAAAGATACCAAAAATCAAAACATTTTAAACTTCATGTTTCTTTTGGTTGTTTGCTGTGAAACTGACTCTGACCACTATATATGCAGTAAGAGGGACAAATAAATACCTTTTATTAAAAACATATCAGTTTTATGGGATACCATAAAAATTATTACTAGATTCAGTGATTGTCATGAACAAAAGATTTAGTCCTTCCCTAAATTAGATTACCATGAATTTTTCTCTATTGAAACATAACTTTTCTTCTATTTTTCTTTTCTTAAAATTTGGATTCAAGAAAATATTTTTATTTAAATAATGCTACTTGACAGTTTATAAAATAAAAACCCTTATTTCTTGACAGAATTGCTCTCATCAACTTAATTTTTAAATTCTGCTTAGAGTTATCAGAGCCTTCGATTTTTAGGATTGAAATTAAGACAGTCTGTTGAACTAATGAACTATGAGTTTATTAATCTTGAATCATTGATATGAAAAGGTAAAAATGAAAGTTTAATCTTTCCATTAAGATTTCTAACAAAATAAATTCTTTCAAGCAATAGAATTTGCGCAATAATTACTTTAATCTACCTCAGCATCTTAATCACCTAGCATCACATGCTTAAAAAATACAGGCATGCTAAAACATACTGCCTGGTGTGGATATACTTCAAAATAATGATAGCATTTTTAAGACATGGATTGAATCAAGAAAAGTCAGAACAAGATTTCCATCCTTTATATCATTCCTTCTTCAAAAAAGTAGCAGTGGTTCCTAGTGTCATTTGTAGGTGAGGCCATGTCCTTCAAGACGTGGATGTCTGTGACAGAAATTACAAAAGAAATTATTCCTCTTTAATAGCATCATCTTTATGCTACATGGCTTTAAATCTGAAGGCACAAGTGGGGACATTGAAGAAGGGAAAAAAACCTATTTCCAACATCTGTGCAATAAGGGACATCAAATCAACTGTGCAACTCTTCCATTGTAGTTCTGTATAAACTATTAGAATCTTTTCTTTTAAACTATTAGAATCTTCTTTTTTTAATGTTTATTTTTGAAAGAAAGAGGGAGCATGAGTTGGGGAGGGACAGACAGACGGTTGGTGGGGGGGGGGGGGGGGGGGGGGGGCGGCGGCACAGAGGATCTAAAGCAGGCTCTGCACTGAAAGCAGAGAACCTGATGCGGGGCTCTAACCGTGAGATCATGACCTGAGCCAAAGTTGGATGCTTAATGAATTGAGCCACCCAGGTTCCCCAAAACTATTAGAATCTTAATTGCCTTTTTGGCTTTTATATAGGCACCAAGCTTTTTATCCTCTATTCAGGATATGGTGCCAATTAATTAAATATGGTTCTAGTTTATTTATATATACTTTTAAAAATAGATAAATATAGTAGAGCTTAAAGACAAATAAATCAGTTATGATGGCATTCAAGTTGACCAGGAAAGTTCTGACTCTTCTTTTTTGGTTAGATAGCATCAGTAAATCTTTTGCTGCATTCTGCGTGGTTGACGGACCCCTCTTAGTTTTCTTCTCATTTCTGAATCATACCATAAACACTCAGTTATCTCTTTTTCTCTTCCAAAAAAAAAGATTAATTGTTTTTAAGTATTCAGCACTAGCAACCTTATCACTTATTTTGGTTCTTTTTTTAATAGTGACTTTTTCTTAGTTCATTGGAGCCACAAAAAGGGGGAGGGGGAAAATATGCTCAAACCAAAGGGAAAGGAAGATTACTACTGCATAAAAAATATTTGAATAGCTAGAGTAACAATCTAAAATTACTTTTGCTATAGAGCACCTCATGCCTGGAAATCTAGAAAAATATGGATTGATAAGAACATATGTTAATTTGGGTCATACTGTAGTAGTAACTAATCTGAATTACTCTTCCCTTTTTTTATCAAGTAGCACTTATTCAGTATTTTTAGGTATTATTGAATTACACTGTAAATTTTTCAGTATTTTCAGTTGTGAAACATTAGAATTAGAGGAGTTAATACAAAATTAAAAATTCACTTTATTTGTGATTAAAGTAAAATTCATATACAAACTGCACACTGTGGTCACAAGAGTCAGCTTCCACAGAGCTGCTAGGCTGGGCCTTTGTACACACAGATAGTAGACATCCCTTTGTTTTGCCCCTCCTTCTCTTCTTCAGCAGTCATTCAATGACAAGCGTAAAAAGAACCTCTTTTCCCGAAAATTCCCCTTCTACAAGAACAAGGACCAGAGTGAGCAGGAAACAAGTGATGCTGACCGTAAGTATGTGGATCCAGTGGTCAACTGAAAATAAATGTAGAGGGACCTACTGCCCTGCAGTTGGTTGTTACCATGGAGACAGTTTCAAGAGCTGCAACAGGTTACTAATTGTCTTAACCAGGGGCAATCTTAACAGACATAAATTAACTTCTATACCAATCTTAACTTTTTCTGGTACCTTAGGAATTCATAATTTAAAGTAAATATTTTTTTTAAGTTATGTGTTTACAATAGAATCATTTGATGTAAGGGTTCTTGGAAGAAACAGTATACTTTAAAGAATATTTTAGAGAAAAACTATGGATACCTGAGAATCTGCTTACTGATTTCTAGGTATAACATTGACAGTCTTTGGTAATAGATCTTCTGGAATTGTTCCATTTTATCCTACATCTTCATTATATGTAGACAATCTGAATTTTACTTTTAAAATATCAAGAAATGATTTCAAATTTTGCTTCTCTACCCTAATCAGTCTCTAAGCTAGAACTTCCATTCCTTTAGTAGGTTACATTCAGCTGCTAGTTTATTTCAAACTTTCAGAAATCTACAAAAATGCTCTAAAATATGTGCACCTGTAATGGTCTTGGAACTGTCTCTTATTGTAGCACCAATTTTATGCATTACTGACAACTATTTTCTTTGATTATCTTTTTATTGCTTGCTCTCTGGGAACTACTCTCTACAGGAGATCCCTGACGACATGGGATCAAAAGGCCTGAGTAAGTGATCAAAATACTCCCAAGTTAATTTTTAACCTCCATCTACAGATCTACCTTTTTCAGATACATTTTGAGATTCATGGTAGTGCCTTTCTGGCATGAGGAGGTATATGATTTAGATTGCTTTTAGACTTTTCATGTTAACGTGCTTGGGATTTTTACTTCTATAATACATACTTTTTGTTTTTCTAATGCTCCATTTTTCATATGTCATTTGAAAAACTGCTCATAACTACATTTTCCTTTTGTAATTTTCACAGTGATTACTTCTTCTAGGTTCTTTTTTTTTAATAAAAGACTTTTAAGCTTTTGAAAATAATACTGCCTGCCCTCATTAGAATGTAGAAAATAATCTTCCTTGCAGTTTTATATCCACCTGGTTTTTCTGTTAAAACAAGTTAAAATCACTTTGTTTCTGTGTTAGAAGAGCATTGCTATAATGTGAGACTATAAAATACAGTGGATCTTAATAGAGAAGAATGTGTACCTCAAGTTGAAGTAGCAGTCTATGGGGGGGGGGGGGGAGCTTACAACTGTGTTTTTGTTTTTTTTGTTTTTTTTAATGTTTATTTACTTTTGAGAGAGAGAGAGAGATAGAGCATGAGCAGGGGAGGGGCAGAGGGAGAGAGGGAGACACAGAATCTGAAGCAGGCTCCAGGCTCTGAGCTGTCAGCACAGAGCCTGATGTGGGGCTCGAACTCACGAACCGTGAGATCATGACCCAAGCTGAAGTCAGATGCTTAACTGACTGAGCCACCCAGGTGCCCCACATCTGTTTTTAAGGGAGATTATAAGTTATGAAAAGAATTACAAGAAATATCCTTTATTTTTCCTTTAACCAAGACGTTGGTGTTTTTGGTTTTTGTTGTGTTGTTCTTATTTAATTTTCTAACTAGTATTTAATTTTCATATAAAACTTGGTAGAGAGTCTGATATATAGGAGTCATTCAGTAAATATCGGAGCCAATGGATGAAACAAGGCATTTTTTAGCAAACAAAATTTTAAATTTAGGTGTTCTCAAATTGATTAAATATGAACGTTTACCAAATATTACTAAGTTACTTTAGGTGACAGTGACTCATAGAGGTAATATTTTGAGCTAAAGTTTCCTAGATAGTTCTTTCAATTTGGATTATTAAGCATTTTGAAGACTTATTTCTTTGTAACTCATTGGTCATTAAGGATATAACCAACATCTTTTAACTTTCTAAGATCTACATTAATAAACATTATATTTCGTAGAAGGTTTTTTCCCTGATTTATGCTAACTTTATACTGCAATCTTAATCTGAAGTGAAAGTACTCAACTTTTATTTCAACCTTAACGATTAAAGGTTTGTATTAGATTGAAGGCAGTATGCTTTATGTGTAATTGTTTCTATACAGACACAGTATGCTATTTTTGCATGTGCCTTTGTAGGATTTGTCAAGAGCCACAAATTTACTATCGCTAGTGGCACCCTTTTTAAATCTTTTACCTTTGGAGAATATAATCAGTAAAAATCTTTAAAACTGGAAAGTATTTCCATAGATTCTTAATGCTACAGAATTTGAGAATGATATATTTTAGAGATGGTATGAATCAGCGTAAGGATCCACAGATTTTTTAATATCTGTTGAATCATCAGAGACCTGTGGAAAACTCCTTGAAAAGGAGCTAAATGAATTTGTTTCCCATATTGAAACTGTTATGATGGATGATAATTACACCTTCACCACATCTTATTTCCATCTCTCATTTTGATGTTTGGGACTTGAGAAGAGAAATAAATGAAAAACAGTAACTGATTATGAGACAATGTCATTTCTAAAAGGGTTTAATTTTCCGGATGGCAACTTAAGATTCCCTTGAATAATAGGTTTTGTGCTTCATTTCACAGAAACTAAAATAATTTATTCATCTGGTAACTTGATGAGCAAATCTAGAAGATTTTATTTGGAAAAAACTGAGGGAGACAGGAAAATACGAGTAAAATTCTAAACCTCAATATGATGGCAGTTACCACATGAAATAGATGACTAGCAGTTAACAAAGTCCCCATTATTACACAACAGAAAATTCTGGGAAAAGCGTGGTCAGGGACGTTATTTGTAGCCTCAGTAATCTGTATTCTAAAGTTCCGGCTACAGGAAATAAACTTAAGCAAAATCCTGTGAGGTTTTAGTATGAAGAAATAAATGTGACCTCTATAGGTATTCAGGACTTGTTGGAATAGGATTCATGAAGCGACTGAGGACAAAAGGCATAAATTATTTCAGAGAAACAAACCCATTGAAGAAATGTGGAATAACACTGAATATCGAGAAAGATGTACATCTACATGTAATTTTACATAACCTGTGAAAAATAATGTATTTAATTGAAGAAGAAAAAGAAAAAAGTGATAACCTAGAATACTTTTCATAGACATAAACTTCAAATGATTTTACAAAGAAGAGAATCAAATTATTGATTTGCCCTGTTGACAGTACAGGAAACAATGAGAGAATTTGCCTTTCTAATCCTAATTTTGACTAACAGAACTAAGTAGAATATGATGGAAGTCTGAGAGAATGCAAGTAAATCATCATAGCTTGTGAAAAGCTAGAAATAGAAATGTGTGCAGCTTGTATGCTTTAAGAAGGCAACTTTGGAAAAGGTCAGAAAGAAAAAAGTAAGATTCCTTTAACAGATACTAAAAGGAAATAAGTTCAGGAGGGGCTGTATAAGGTGCTCAGAAGTGAAATCATGATGCAGTTTCAGACAAGGTTTGTACCTTTTAAATGAAGGTCAATTTTTATAGCTTTCCATTTTGTAGAACGCCTCAAAAACTCAGGCACATAGGAAAGAGATACGTAATGGGAAGCCTTTCTTTTCATCTCAAAGACTCATTTCAGCAAAGTTGTGCAGAGCTCTTAGATGCCAAAACCAGAATTACTTTTATTTGTGTAAAGAGTAAGTGTAAGAATGGGAGTATTGCTTGAGATGGATGATGTGTAGTAGTTAGAGCAAAGAGAAAAGACATATATGATACATTCTCGGGAAAAGATGTCTGATTAGAAAGGTGAGACTGGATTTAGGGAGATTTGAAATGGCTGTGGTCATCAAACATCAAAATCAAAATTAAAACTTGAAGAAGAATATATTTGTATCCTGTATGGCAAAGGGATCATATCTTTGCACTACACATTTCTGACAGATCACTAAGAAATAGATTCTCTCTCTTCATTAGGTAACTGAACAAGGGACGTGAGAAGAATGCTAAAACAATAACAAGTGAAATAAGCATCCAAAATGACAGTTTTTACCCATCTTCTTGACAGACATTTCTTTTAAAGAAAAACCCAGTGGTAGAGTTCCGGGGAATGAGTATTTTCAATATGTTATAATTATGTGTATTTGAAAAAGCATATCTTTTGACCTACTAATTCCTCTTCAAGGAATTTATCCTAAAGATGTAATCAGAGATGGTGATAAAGGTTTATACATCAGGATCTTTAATTTTATTCAGAAACTACAGTCAAAAAATTTTTGAAACCATCCTAAAATGTCTTACATTTGGGAAGTGGTTAATGAAGTATGATTGTCTATACTTTGTAATATTGTATAGCCATTGAAAATCATATTAAAACATATGACATGGGGAAATGTTCATAATGTGAATGAAAAAAGTAAAATGTGAAACTACATATATCATCTCAGGTTTTTTTTAATGTTTATGTATTTTTGAGAGAAAGGGATCGCAAGCAAGGAAGGGATGGGGTGGGGGGGGGGACAGAGGATCCAAAGTAGGCTTCGTGCTGACAGCAGAGATCCCAATGCAGGGCTCAGACTCACTCACCAAGAGATCATAACCTGAACTGAAGTCATACACTTAACCAACTGAGCCACTGGGGCACCCCTATTGTCTCAAATTTGTAAATAAACATATATTTAGGGCTATTTGGAATAGTGTTGCTTTGAACAATATTGTACATGTCTGTTGGTCAACACATATATATCTTTCTGATGGGGAAATACCTGGGAAAGGAATTGGTGGGTCATAGATACATACATCTGTTCAGCTTTGGTAGGTACTGCAAGTAGTTTTCCATAGTGGCTGTACCAATTTTGCCACCCCCAGTAGTGTATGAGTTCCAGTTGCTACATATCTTATGTGTGTTTGGCATATCTTTTTTTTTCATTTTAGCCATTCTGATGTATGGTAGGGATATCCATTGTGGCTTATTTTGCATTTCCTTGATAAGTAATAAACTTGGACACCTTTTCATATGTTTATTGGACATTTGAGTACCTTTTTGTGATGAAGTTCCTTTAAAAATACAATTTTTAGGGGCGCCTGGGTGGCTCAGTCAGTTAAGCATCTGATTCAGCTCAGGTCATAAACTTGCGGCTCGTGCGTCGGGCTCTGTGCTAACAACTCAGAGCCCAGAGCCTGCTTCAGATTCTTTGTCTACCTCTCTTTCTGTTCCTTCCCTACTTGCACTCTGTCTCTCTCTGTCTCTCT